AGCAGCAGCAGCAGCAGCAGCAGGAGTAGCAGGAGTAGCAGTAGTAGTAGTAGTAGTAGTAGTAGTAGTAGTAGTAGTAGTAGTAGTATTATATAGTGGTAGTGGTGAGCTAACCTTGGCAAGGGTAGGCGGACACTTCCACCAAGTGACACAAAAACCTCCCAACTCTGTCCCTTGTGGCCTTCAGGTGGGGCAGCGCAGTCGGAACCTCAGACGGTCAAGGATCTCAAAGACTTTTTAACAAGCTGCTTTCTACCCAAACATCGAGCCAACCGTTGTAATACACACTCCAAAGGAGATTGGTTGATATAAAGATCAGGTATCTGAGTATTTGGGATATACTGGGCCCCACAAGGTGATCTGCCGGAGGGATCTTCTCTCGTTGACTTGCCCACCCAGTGGCTGGTGGTCGTGTCGCCGTGTCCGGTCAGCATGGGTTGCGCTTGGAAAAAGGCCCTGGTGAGCTTTGGCTATTGCTTCTTGGTCTTCGTGGGCGTACGATACATGGAGCGGCGGAGCTCCGTGCGCTCAGCTTCCTGGCTGCGGTTGCTCCGTTTCAAATTTTGGTGGGTCTCTACGGGGTGGTGGGTTGACAGATACCTTTTTGAGCTTCAAACAATTGGTGACCAGTAGTCCCTTTTTCTGGTTGGTACCATCACAGAAATAGTCTTGGGAGCTCTTGCATCCCAGATCCACCTGTTGTTGCAGCGGAGGGCAGCTTTTGAAAAACATACTGTGACTTAGACCAGAGCTCTGAGAGACGAGGGAAAGAAAGCACTGAATGGAAGAGACCTTGTATATGCTTCCTACCCCCAAGCTGGAATGGTTCAACAAGGCAATGTCAATTTGTTGCAATCTAGTCGCGCTTCCTTTAGTTAAGCCCCGTATTGACCACCCGCACGAACTTCAACGGTTAGGCCGCCCTTTGGTTCAGCAAATCTCAGGTGTAGAAGGCCGCTAGAACGACCAGGGAATTGGTTGTTCACTTTTTCCGCCTTGATCTCAGGTCATCATTTTCGAAATCATGGCCGTTTATAACTCGACGCAAGTCTTACTGAACCTGTACGAAGTCTGTGCGATCCTCTATGACATGATTTCCTCTGACTTCCGTTTGGACTCGCTGCTGGGGACCCCAACGAAGTGTGTTCCCGACAGGGCACGCTTCAAGCATGCGGAGAAGGTGGAACCCTTTGTTACTAGTAGCTTCTTGCTACTAGTAGCGATGGCCTGCAACCTAATAGCGATGGCCTCCACCGAGTAGCTTCTAGCTACTAGGCATGCGTGAGGACCCTCAAATTTGGGGAAGCCACCTCCTGTTGTTCCTCCTTTCACCGAGATTTGTTGCATTCCGAAAAGGACAAGTCGGATTGACTTGGCATGGCTTTCCACTGCTTCCAAGGCCTAAGAATGTGGCAGAGCCTTTGATTTGGCTGCAGTACCACTGCCGACAGATGGAGCTTCTGGATACGTTTCCTGGCTGCCTTGACCCTTTGAGGGAGCGGGAAGTAGGCTAAACTTTGGTGAGTCAGTCGGGACAAGAACATATGAATGGTATATGATGATTTTGACATGGCCGAAGTCAATAGCGTGCTGAAATTCCTCCAAGAATGGCTGATTGTTCTCCAGCAGTCACTTTCCAGGGGCAAGGATTTTGCAGATTTCTTGAGGTTCTTCTTGGTCCTGCGCAAGAAGTTCGACGACATCTCCCTTTTTCACATGTACTATCGGGTCCTGAACATGCACCTTGCCTCAGAGAAGATCCGATGGGTACCGCCAAATGGCAGCGAAAGTTCGGAGCATTTGTATGGCCCCTTTCACCAGGAGCCCTTAGTAGCGTGCTTGCTCCTAGTAGCGATGCCAGGAGCCCCTAGTAGCTTTTTGTTCCTAGTAGTAAGGCCAGGAGCCCCTAGTAGCGTTTCCTTTCACCTGCATGAAAGACTAGTCAATGTGCAATGATTGTTGGTCATCTCCAGTCGCGATTGCAGGTGCCAAGCCTCACACTTCCAGTCAGTCCAAGGTAAAGCTCACTGCCCTGCCACACCTCTATGATCAACGCCTCGTCGCACTGCCTCGTGTGAAACCGTGGTTTCCGTCTCCATGTGTCTCGTGAGGTGGGGTTGGTTCTTTGGATTTCACTACGCCTGCGTGGGGCCCACACTGGTGCCTGCCTTGGTGACCTCCGTCGCCCAGACCCTCCAGCTCCTCGGAGACAATCTGCTCTGAGTGAGGAACCTTGTTTGGAAGCTGCAGTGATTTTATGTGATTTTGTGAGTCTAGTTGTTTGGTTGGGGTTGCATGATTTGTGAGGCTTTGTCAGGTCATGAAAGGACGGGTTTTGTGGCGGGTGGTGTATCAGTGTATCTTTGACCACATTGAGTCACTCAATGTATACAAGTTGTTCTTTTTGGAGGTACGGGCTTGGTGTGAATCCAAACCTGCGGGAAGCACAACGTGTCGCGTGTTTCCTTTTGTCACCTGGATGTTCCCTACATGAAGGGGTGATCTGCAGTTTGAAATTCACCTCACACATCCTCACACCACAGTCGTCGCAGGGGATGACTGTCCTGACACGGTCTTCGGTTTCAACGGTTTCAACGGTTTCAACCCGACACGGATTCTTCAGGTACTTATCCTTCACCATGGCGATCTTTGGCGTTCGGAAGCTGCCCTTGTTCTGCAAGGCCCCCTTCGAGTCTTTTCGCTTTCATTGAAGGGGAGGGCCTGGGCGACGTGGCATTTCGAGTCGAACCGCCAGGCGATGATTTTGATGAGATGTTTTTTGACAAAGATCCATATGACACAGGGATTTTAGGTCTCGAATGGTCTGAGTGCCTGCAGAGCCTTCATGAACTTTGCAGTTGAATGGACACAATGACTGCGCAGGCACCCATCGCGGAGCTTCAAACTGCCTGCGCTGGGCTGTGCATGTTGTCCAACTTGCGGCCCGGCGGTTTCGTGCGTGTGGACTGTCGCGCGGAGAAATGGGCAGACTTGTTCCGGTTTGGACAGATTCTGGCCTTTGCGTTCAGTGCAAAGCAGGGGTTGTACTGTATGTCTCTCTGAAGAGCTGAAGTTCTTTTGGATGGGACAGAGCTTAGCCGGTCAAAGGCTTGGTACCAGTACCGCGGACTGCTTTATCAAGAAGTCCTGATACCCGAGTTTGATCTCGGATTGCCAACAATGTTTCCTTTTGTGAAGATTGTACCTCTGAGACACACACACGCAATTCCTTATGTCGGTAGTCGGGAGATCAGGAAGATACTCTCAATTGTTTATATATATATATACTGTATATATAGTTTCCCTAAAAATCTAGGAAGCAAAGGCATAATAAGCTCCTCCCCGCCCTCAGGCTGGCAAAGCTTCCTTGAAGAAGCCTCTGAGCTTTCTTGCGTTGCAGCTTCCCAGGTCCAGGTTTACTTGCTCCTCAGTCCCGGCCTATCCCCCCCCCGCCCAACAGAGACTTAACACACGAAGACATGACATAGCATCCTGTCCATGTCTTTTCCTTCAGATTCAGTGCCTTGGCCCAATCTTTTGGAATCAAGATTCCGAGAAAGTGGGCCTTCGCAAGGTTCATGGCCGTCAGTGGTCGCCTCCCCATCGGCCTGGCCATGCTGCACGCTTTTGTCTCCTGGCTGCGGGTGGGATTCGTTGAAACTCCGGGCGGGTGGGCCGTGAAACATGAGCTGAATATCGGATAGTGAAAGTGGCGCTCCCGAAGCCCAAGCAGGAATTGAAGAATAGATGGATCAATTTAGATTACTTTGCAGCTTAATTACATTGCTTGAGCCTTGTCAACCCGCTTCAACACGGTGTTCAGCATTGAAAGATTGTATCTTCAACTCTTGCTCTTGAAGGCCTCCTGATCACATCTCACGCCATTGCACACCCAAATAGACAGCGAAGGAGAATCCTCATGAGACATTTGATACTCTTTGGCAAGCACACGCTGACACCGAAGAACGACAAAGAGCCAAAAAGCACATGTACAATCTTGCATGAAACTACTTTCTTTCTTGGAGATGTTGGATTCAAATTGTAAAAGTTTATATGGAGGATCCTTTTTGCACATCCCTCACCGAGGTCTTCTTCAATGGTGTGGTCCTCTACACGGACCACTTGGGTTCTCCGGGATGCGGAAAGGGATAGCAATGAATGGCAAGGGGTGGTGGCAAGGCTACAGGCGTGCAATTTTGGCTTAGTTTAGGATTACAGAAAGAGACTGAGATCAGTTCGTATCCTTCATGGATTCAGTCGAAATGATATAAGACAAGGTGACATTTCGCCACATCAATCATTGTGAGCCTCATCCCGTGTCGTTTGGTTGCAAGCAATCGATCATTTTTTTGATCTTTCCCAATTGTTGACCACTCCATGGTGAGGGTCTCTCGATTTTTTTAAACGGCTTGGTGCGCCTTTCTCGCTCTTCGTCCTCCTCCTTTTCCTATCGAGTGCGGCGACCACTGCCGTCGGACCTGCCAGTCACGCCGAACCGACTTCACCTTCAGAAGACTTGTTTCTAATAGCAAACATTGTTACTACTAGTAAGGCACTTGTTACTACTAGCGTGGCACTTGTTACTACTAGCACTAGGTTGGCCTTTTTTTTCTTGTTCTTGGGTGACTTGGGTCTCTGTCTTGCTGGATTATACCAGCTCTTGAAATCTGTCCTGGACTGGCTTGTTCTTCACTCTGCTCCTTTGATTTCGACAACATGGAGGTGAATGGGCACTTGAGTTGGAGTCAAGCCAGACTCATGGAACAGCAACTCGCTTCTTGGAAGTTGTTCCTTGAAATTCCTTGGTGCCTGCCATGGCGAGAATCAAAATCGCCTGCAGCGCAAATCGCCTTCCCAGAAAAGCTTCATGTAAGGTCTTACTGTCCATCTTTTGCGACAATTAGGGTCTGTCACTTCCAACTCACCTCAGGGCGACCATCCATCTATGAGGAGCTGAAGTGACGTGTCCTCTCTTTTGTTCGTCGCCTTCCGACCGCTCTCCTCGCCGGGACCCGGCGGCTCTCTCGCTTCACGTCGTCGCCGGGACCGAGCGTCCAGGACTTCCATTTCCGAGAGACGCATCCCTTGAGAGTTGCTTGGCGGTGTGCTGGCGTCGTCCGCCGGTGTGGCTCATCGGCCAATCAAGCCACTGTTAAGAAAAGCACTGAAGGCTCAAAGGGCTCAGGTGGGTGGACTAAATGTGAAAAAGAGACAACATTAAAAGGACACAAGGACAATTAGAAGGCAAGGACCCCTTTAGCAAGGCTCCTTGAAAGAAGGGGCCAAAACCCATCCCCTTCCTTCACCTTTCCTTCGATTTATTCTCACTCCATAGATTGATTTTCCGAAACTGGCAAGGTCACAGCCCGGGTTATCAGAACCTGCCCGAATTTGCTCACGGTATTGGTGCGGTCAGTTCAATCAAGCCCACCAAAGCGGATGGCAGTGAACATCGCGTTGTTGCCTTGTCCTTCCAGCAAGAACCTGGGTCAAACGGTCAAACCACACCTAGAATCAGGGTACCAATCAAAACCATCATTGATTTCGTCTAGAGCCTAGACCAAAGACCGTTGTTTGGTTCTTCTCCGTTTCGGCTCGCTCGTTCTCCGGTTCGCCGTTCGCCGCGCCAAGGAGAAGGCCCCTCCATCGCAGGACGGAGAGCGGGTCACTTTCAGTTTCGACTCTGCAGGGTGGCTCTACGTCTATCAGTGCCTTTGAAGGATTCCGTCGCCCAAGGAAGGCGGATGAAGAGGTTTTTCCTGATGGATGATTACTACGATTCCCCTGCATGAAAAGAGGTGAGGTGGCTGGTTTAATGGTGGCAAGCTGGTTTAGTTCTTCACTGCGAAATCATAGGCAGGTGTAAGAATGGAAGCTCCATCTGGGTTGTTTCAGAGGGACCTTTTGGACCTCCACCAGCACCAGCTGCAAAAAAAGAAACACCTAGGAGAATTGGAGGCCAAACACTACTTGAGGGGAAGGACGTTTAGCATGAAGATGAATCACCATTCGCTGTTGTGTGAGGCTTCTTGAGTTGGACAGGATACACAGCTATACATTTTGAGGTTTTTAATGGGCAGTTGTGCTATGTAGGCCCTGTAGGCTGTGCCTTTGGGGGTCACAGGGATCACATTTCCCGATCCACATGGGCCGAACAATCTTTTGCCAAGGTCTAAGACGGATCTCTTGCAGCTTTGGTGTGATATTATACGACGGATATAAGAACTCTTGTATACAGATATATCTTGGCTTTGTCCTATTACCTGTAACAGTCAGTAAACAATTATCACTATTTTTTTCTAGACTCTAGACGGATAGAAGAGTGTATACAATGTATATAGCCTATACAGTGTATAGCATCGATTCTTTGGATTTCTTTGCCGTCGAAGTCATATGATCAACTAGTTCCTTGGTAAGACCAGGCTTGCACCACTCAATCCCAAGTGGTGGAGGAACTAACAACCCATGACGCTTGCAGCTTACTTTCACAGGGAGTTTCACAGCAACTTCCCCAACATCCCGGAACCGATGATATGCTGACCTGATGCCCAAGCTCATGCTGTGAGGTTCGGCGTGGCGGCTTTCCTGCAAGCTACTTGGGCTGCAACGAGCTCGGTGACCCTCAAACGGTTGCGCACCGTGGAGTCACAGCATTTCACATCCAAGGCCCAGACTCTGGACGCCCACTGTACAACATCAGTATTTCTTGTTGTGACTTGTTTGGAACGCAAGACCCTCCCCCACAACTAGCTTAAAGCAACCACCTCAAACAAAGTCCTCATTTTCCAGACCACCGGATTGGTTGGCCTGCGATATGGTTTGTGTCTGAATATGGCCAGATACCTCAACTTCTTTGTACATACGTTATCATTCCTCTCAGCCAATTGTCTCTGGTGTAGCTTTGCAAGACTTGACATACGCTCCAGTATCTATGAAGTTGAACCCTTGGAGCCTAGAGCGGTGAGTACAGTAATCCTAAGACCGTTGACAGACAAGCTTTACCTCACGCTATGATTCAGGAAGGTCTTGCGATGCATTGGTTGTTTTCAGCGTCACTGTCCAGGATTCAATAGCAACACGCAACAAATCACTCCCGAACGACCGGTTTCTTCGTGGCCTGCGCATTTGGCCGGGCCGGGCCCCGTTCAGGAGCACTTGATGCCGCCCAACGGCGCTCCGGACCCCGAGCACTACCCCCGTGGGCTGGGCTTCAGTGGCTCGTGACGTGCTCAGAGCGAACGGCCGAACTGACCAGAGTCGACCACGAAGCGAAGCTGACAGAACACATCTAGAACGCTACTAGGGGCTCGCCTTGTGACGAACGGAGCGAGCGTTGCGTTCGCTTCCACTCCGTCGCTTCTCGACCTCCCAGGAGTGCCGGGGCGCTGACGGCGTCGTTGCTCGCGTCGGGCACGTCGGTGCCGGACGTCTTTGAGCACGTCCTGGCGCAGCGGCTGGGACGAGAGACGGGACCATGGCACGGCGGCCGCACGGTGCAGGTGACAGGTGTTGAACAAGGTTCGTTTGCTGACCACGTTTCCAAGACTTTTGAGAAGGAGTAAAGGATGATGCTTCACAAGTCTGGTGTTGCGCTAGCTACACCACACATCATGAAGCAATTCCATGGGTCCATGATCATCTACCCCTTTGAAACGAGGCAAGCTCTCAACCACTCAGTCAACAATGGCTGTTGTGTGCCCCATGCCCGAAAACCATCCAATCACACACTCCACACCTCGCGGTACACCTCAATGGCACCCAGCTTGGCCTCTCTTGAGCTCTGCGGCCAGTGGGTGAGGTACAAGGTTTGCCGGCGGCGGCCATGGAAGATGGCCGGATGTGCCGAGGAGGCGCTGCGGAAGTGCGGGGCCTCGGACGAGGGACGAGTTTGGTGGAGAGGTTGACAGGTGGCAGGTAGAGACTGTGGGCTCAGTCCCGGACTCGCACAAGCTCCAACCAGAAACTGTCTGAAAGAAGGACATACAGAAGGGTCTTTAGAGCTATTATATGGGTTGGAGGCCTATTAGGTTGGAGGCCATCGCTATTAGGAAAGAGAGAAGGGCTGGTGTCGTGCTGAGGTACCAATTCCCTGGCGCTTTCCGCGTGATCGCTGGGAGGCGGAGCTGTACGGTCTACGAGGAGATTTCTGTTACGGCTTACATCACGTAGGACAGTTGTTCTTCTCTACAGTCCCTTGTGCTTGTCATTCACATCAACTCACATGTACCATACCAGAAAATAGCTGCTGGGAGGTGCCATCTGAACTCTTGCCTTATTACCGTTTTTTAAAAAGGACCTGAACAGCCTCCTAACGAGGCCTTTTTCCCTGTTATCTACAATATCAAAGGTTCCAGTGCAGCTTTGAGTCAAGTCAGGCAAGTGATGCCACCTCCACACATGAGAGTTGCGTACCCAAACCCAAGAGACGAATCTGACAAATTCTAACTGTATTTTTTTAATGCTACTAGGAGCAAAGGGCATCGCTACTAGGAGCAAGGACGCTACTAGGGGCTCCTGGCCGTACTACTAGGAGCAAGGACGCTACTAGGAGCAAAGGGCATCGCTACTAGTAACAATAAGCTACTAGGTTTAGATGTAAAAAACATGTCCCGTGAAGCTCCGCCCTGCCGCGCGGGTCGATGGGTCGATGGGTCAGGCTTCGGATCTTGGTGACGCGTGCGCTCTGGAGGCCGCCGTTCATTATGGGCGGCTTGGCCGTCCCAGACCTGACGTCTCAAGACCTCTTTGCTGAGCAAAACTGGTGTTCTGTCAGGATGTCTCTCTGCTTGTCCACAGGGGTTTGTTGGGCGATTTGAAGGTGGCTTGGAGTTTGGATGGAGCTTGCAAGATTTTGGAGGTCTCGTTGAGGTTGTCGCCTGTTTGAATCCACAGGAGTCGAGAAACGCAGATTTACCACCCCAGAATGAAATTGGTTTCCAATGATTCTTATAGGCTCTTGCTGCTTCAGAATCTGCAAGCTTGACGCCATAAAGCCAAAGACTACTGTCTGTCGCCTTGGACGATGTGCGACACCACTCATGATACTCATACATATTCATACTATGAGTCATACTCTTCGTAGATTGAGCATCAAGCTGCCCTACCCAACAAGAGCTCTGGCACCGGATGTGATCCGTGGAGTCTCTTGACACACCGCTGGCCGGGTGTGGGGCACACCATGAGGGGCTGGATTTCTGGACCGACATTCCGGTCCAGGCAACCGGTCAAGGCGTTTGAGGCCAACCCACTTTGTGCCAAGTGGATGACAGCGAGACGATGGGCTACTTGTGCTCGCTGGGCGCCTTTGATGGAAAAAGTTCCTCTGGCCGATGTGGGTCCAAAACCACACCGAGCCAGGCTCGTCCCTCGTGGCAAGCAGGGGAGGCCAGTACACTCAACAATGTGAGCACGAGTAACACACGCATTCTCCGCTTCTGCTTTTTGGTAGCACAGACATGACGCTTCGCACGTTTCTGAGCACCTTGCACCAGGCTTTACAACTTTGCATATTCTAGATAATCTAGCTTGCTTCCGATGCACCCAATGGATCCTTGGTCGAACTCGGTCGGAAGGGCCGCTTCAGCTGCATCGCCAAGGTGAAGTCGTGGACGAGTTCCCTGACAACGAGACAGCCACTGGGATGTTCAAAGCCAAACGACGACATGGCCCAGGTTCTGGGAAAGCTCGTTTGATCCCCACAGGTATCAAGGTCCATTTGGCTATGGGTCAACACCTCCGAAAATAAACACAATGGACTATGGAGATGGTCAACCAACTGTGCAAGGGATGCAGGGATTGCAGAGCCATTTTACCGTTTTCGGTGTACAATTGGGAATGAACATTGAGGAAAACTCAACCAACCTTCTGAATTGAGACTCCATTTTTCTAGTAGGTAGTATTACTATTACCCAAAAAACAATCACGGTCCTGAGCCCTGGATTTATGGCAATCATGGCCAGGATTTTTCCACACAACGTGTGTCTCACCTCACAACGTGTGTCTTTTTTTGCAGAACGGAAGGTGGAAGGTTTAGGGCTCGAACGGATGGACCAATCTTGGGTTCGAACTGGAAAAGGAGACGCCGTGGTGGGTTGGAAACCCTGCAAGACTTGCTCATGAGGCCATTCAGCTCTTGATGGCTTCTTGCCACATCCCAGCAATCTGTGGATTTTTCCCCAAGAAGATCGGTGACAAGTGCCTTGGTGTTCGTGGACGTATATGGAGGATCGGCTGGGAAGGGTGCAAAAAAACACGGAGAGATGATCCAGAATATGTTGCGAAACACAAAACCGATGGCTTTTTGGGTTCTCCAAGATTGTTTGAAACAAACCTATATATATATATATAATGGATTCTTTGCAGACTTTGCTGGATGAGACACACATTCACATGACAGGATCACACATTCCGTGCAGTTGTTCCCAGATCCTGCAAGTGCAATTGTTAGTTTTGCCTCGTTCGTTTTAGAAGTTACTTGCCATTGTCATTCGGGCGAAACAAACGCCACGTGTGGCAGACGAGATTCTACTGGACCAACCAGTGGTGAGTTGTTGACCTGCGTCTCTCTCCCCAGATGAGAAACTATCTGAAAAGAGCAAGAACACTACCTGGGTGCTTCACCCATTAGGTCAGAAAGCCACTCCTACTTTGATTTAAGACATCCATTTGGACGTCCAAACTGGTACATCGTGAGATTTTGCCTGCCTGGAGGAACGCGAACCGTGGTGTGCCGCCGAATGTCAGAATTCTCAGGTACTACTACGACGGCATGATGTGGAGCTCGCTCTTTGTCCCCTGGCGCGGTGCTAAGGAGGACCACATCGTCAAGGTCTCGGGCATCGGTGGCGTCATGCGCCTCGGACGGCCCGACGCGGTGCACGGTGTTTGGAGAGTTGGGGGGTCTAAAGCAGTGCTTGGGGCATTGCTTTTGCTTTTGGTCCTTTTTGGGGTGTTGTTTCTGGGTCTTGCATGTGGATCAACGGAAGATAGTCGTATGGTTGAATCTGACTAGAAGCTTCCTCTAGCAAGGTGTCGGTTTCTTCAACACCGACGGATACCGCCGGTTGAACAACGTGTCTTTTTCGACCCCGTTACGGGTGAGGTCGGACATTCGACCTCCTCTCATCCCACCGTGGTGGTGTATCCTCCCGCCGCCTGTGCGTGTCCTGCGCGGACTCTACTGGCAAGGCGTGGGGAGGGCGCGAAGCGGGCGAAGCGGGCGAAGCGGGCGAAGCGGGTGAGCACCGCGAAGACGGTTGTCACCCATTTTGGTCACCGAAGGAAGGGGAGTTGAAGTTGTTGGACTGTTTGAAGCTTGATGTCAGTGGATGGGAGATATTGACGAGTACATGAGTGGAACGCCCCGCCAAGAAAGCTTCAAGGATTCGCTGACTGGTTTTGAGGGGAGGGAGCGGACTCCAAACCCCAGATTCTAGCAAACGTTGAACTAATTGAACAAACACATGCCATGTCGTGCATGCCTTCTGTACATGTCTGAGGGTGGTTCCCAAACCGAGAAAAGTATTAAATTCTATTTATTGTTTCTACTTGCTTCTTGTTCCTAGTAGTGATGCCAGGAGCCCCTAGTAGCGTCCTTGCTCCTAGGATAGGGTTTGTGCCTGTTTGGAGAGTGCCACCGAGGCTATCTTGACGCCTTGCTCTGGTTCCGCGCGCCCCCACGCCAGCCACGTGGCTGGCAGTGGGACCGAGAGTGTGGTTCAAAACGAGACACCTAAAACAATGCACCCCGGTCCGGGCTTCCCCACAGCTCTTGCAAGCCTCCTAATTCTTCCTTGCAAAGTTTTTTTTTTTTTTTTTTCCGAAATGAATTGGTGGTGAAAACATTGGTTTCGAACACAAGTGCTGCATCCACTGGAAAGTATCCACCGACGGCCACATGCACGAGAGACCTAAAGAGCCCTGTCCTGCAGAACTGGTTCTTTCCTTGACCACTTTGACCGTTGCAATGCCAAGAAGTTGCAGCGCAAGATGCAGTGATCAAACACACAAAGATTCACCATGAATGAATTATTGGGGAAACCAGGATCATATTCCAAGAGAGAGATTTCATAGACTGCATACCAAAACATACAAAAACATACAAACGGCACCGACACCTTGAAAGGGTGCATAGAACCTGCCAAGAACCTGCGCCTATCGGCCAGTGGCTTTGAACAGCAACGGGCTGTCAGATGGATTCCTTCGTGTAGTCCTTGGGTGTTCTTCACTCAGCGGTGCTGCGTAGTCCTACAGCAACGAAGGAAGCCATTTGGACACCCCACGCCATCCACTGAGACGTCCAGACATGTGCTACCGGTCATCACCCCTCTGATTTGATCAATGCTGTACTTGGTGCACGGCAGAGTTTTGAATCCCATCCTGGTCCTAGCCTTTCCCCAAAAACATGAACTCTATGATTCGTAAAGTGAAGCCATTTCCATTTTATGCCGTTTCATGCCATTTCCAAGATTCCTTTCAGTGATTCCTGTCTATGATTCCAGTTCTTCCTGCTTCTTCGAGGCTTGAGGGCTGGTGCGGCCGCCGCGATGTGCGAGAGCGCGCCCCAGCGGCGGCGTCATCGCAGGCATCATCGCAGGCTGCGTCGCAGGCGGCGGCGCAAGCCCCTGCGGCAGCCAGGCCTGTTCCACCAGATGTCCTAAGTCTGTCAAGTTGGATTTTTCTATTTACTCTGACTCCTCATATATGGAAATGTGTGCGGACACATTCCAGTCGTGGGTGAAGGCTTCAAACAGCCTTCAAAAAGGTCTGAACGTCACAAAGGAGTTGGTTTTCGCAGCATGGTTTCCTGAGAATGACGTGGGAAGAGTCCCCGCCCAGGCGGAACGCGCGGCGGAACACCGCATCTTCTGCGCAGCGGAAGTGGCAGGCAGGGCGTTTTGCGCGTTTTGGAGCACTGAACTGGTGGGAGCCGAAGGTCAACGAGTGCTTTCATTTCCAGTCCCGATGAGAATTCTATTTCATGGCGGTGCTTCCATGTTCGTGCAGGGTGCATGGAACCATAGGGAAGCATAGGTAACCCATGGACCTGTAGCACCTCCCTTTTCTACCGGCGGGTTCTCGTAGAGCTCGTAGAGTTGAGGCTGCAACTTTTTGGGCCAATCCCTCCACTGAGAATGGTGCAATCCTTTCTGATTCATAGAGATAGGGGCGAGCAGTTGTGTGTTCCACCGAAGAGACGGCCTTCTGAAGAACACGGCCCATCCGCAGGTGGCCAAGGCTTTGCTGAAGCAAAGTCCCCCGAAGCTCGCCAAGGTGCACAGTGACTGTTCTCGGTCCAGCGAACTGTCAGTGAACGGTGGGCCGTTCGCCAGCCGAGGGTCTCTAGTCGCCTCTGAGAAGAGAGGGGATGGTTTGCAGAATTTGGTTAGCCGAATGAGGGTTAGAGACCTAAGGGTTTAGGGGTCGGCAGTGCCTTCTTGAGAAGCATAAGTCTGGAAGGCTTTTGCGAGGAGGGAGATTGAAGCCCGCCAAAGTTCCAAACGTTCCTTTTCATTGGACCAGAATCCATCCACTTCATTTGCTTTAGCGTGACTGTCGAAGATGTTGGCCATCGCGAGGCATTGGCGGTCTGCGATCCCAGTGGAGAGACAGTGCGGACATTGCTCAAGGATTTCTATGATGCGAGGAGACTGGGCATAGTGTTTTTTCCAGAGCATAGAAAAGACATTGCTATTCTAACAAAGTACTATCGCATGGAGGTCACTCTGCACAAAAAAACGCGTTTCGCAAGTTTGAAGACGCCATTCAAAAGCACCGACATTTGTGATGGTTTCTGCGACACTGCCTTCACATCCACCACTATATGTATATATGTATATATATATATATATTTCTTTAAATCTAACTTTTGCACGTTGCGACCACAAGCGTGGCAAAACACAAGAAGCATTGTACATTGCAGTGTTTGTTGAATGCAACATGCCCCAAACAGACGTCAAACTCGAGTCCAAATCGTCCAAAAAAAAGTCCGCGAAAAGTTGTTGCACAAACACGCCGTTTCGGCGAACAACGCCGTTTCGGGTACTCCCCAACAGCAAAAGGCTCTCTCCAAGAACGCTGAAGGGCAGGGATCGGCCGACCAGAAATCTTTTCGAATGCCATGCCTGAAGCCATTCTCGCATCAAGAACATAAAGTCATAAAGTGTTTCCATTGATCACTTTCGGCCGCTTGCCGTGGTGAGAGGGCCGTGTCACAGTTGCTTGAAACACTACATGAGAGGACATGTTTCTTGCGTCATTTCCCAGCCCCGCAGTCGCTCAACCATGTCACGTGTCGTCCGCCGTTGCCTTTTCCGGGTTGTCGTCCCGCAAGTCACCGCCAAAACAGACAGAATCTGATTTCAAGGGTCCCACCACGCTGTGTTTGAGGAGTTACACCATGCACTTGTCAGCTTTGTGCTGCTGTGCCCTGCTGCTGCCGCTGGGTGCTATCACGCCACAGATCCGCAGCACCGCCACTGGGGATTTGCAGTCAGCACATTCTTGTTGATTGGCTGTGGGGTTTCAATCAAGACGCCCCCAGAAAAGGTAAGCACACCACACACATTCTCTGAGTTCTCGTTGTCGGTTCCCTGATCTCCAACCCATCCATGATTTTGATTGATTTTGTGGCCTATGGCCGAGCACACAACCTTCAGGAGAATTCGTCACCATCCGGATCATATTCAAAGACTATGACCCTGCAGGATTTTGTCCAGCTTTGGAACACGACTTGTAAACCGTACATCTCAGTTTGTTTTTTGATCCATGTTACCACTTTCCAATTTTGACAATCGTTTGCAAACCCTTGAGGTCCTCGGGCTCACGCTGGCCGCTCGTCATTCTTTCTGGTTTTGTGGGGGTGTTGTTGAAGTTCGGGTTCTGTCATGAGGTGGGTTCTCGACACTGCAAACCCACTTCTGAGATGCATGGCTGTGAGGGGCACCAGGGTATTGAATAGTATTGTTGCTGAGAAAAAGCAAGGTTGTTTTGCGGTTTCAGACGAGGCTTGGTGGAGTTGATTCATTGATCAGGGGCAATTTTTCGGTATTTGGGGACTGAAGGACGTGGTAATAACTATATAGTGAATGTCGGACATGAGAAGTTTGGGGTGAAAGAATACTTATATATATCTATATATATATATACCAGAAGTGGACAAGCGGGACAAAGAGCTGGGGCTAAACAATATCCAGCAGCCCCAAACAATAGCCTCCGCAAAGTAACCGCATCATACTTGAAACGGTGCATAAACATCTACATGAATGGCCACAAACACCAATTGGACCAAGCCCAGACACGGCTATGGCTTTTGCAAAAGTGCAGCTTGCACTGTGTTAGGTGCACGTTCCAGTGCACAAAAAGACAGAAAGGGCCCGCCCTTCACATCTGCCGCTTCCGCAAAGATGCACCAAACTGGTGCGGAAATACCATAACTTTTCATGACCAGGCAGCCGGCCGGCTGGGTTTCTGGCCGCATCACCATTTTGGGCAGTTCAAAGATCACTCCCTACGGATACAGTATAAGTACAAGTTTCTTCCCAAACAAGATGCTTGGTCAGCCAAAGACATGTAAATACTATATTAGACCGGAGCAGTTGAAGTATATAATCTAGACAGACCTCTTGAGCCAGGCAACCCCACAACTTTGCCTGCTTAAAGTGCTTACTGTGCCATTTTTGGAGGTTGCATCCTGTGGACTGGCCCAACGTTCTCTCAACAGAGCTGCATCTCAAATCTGAAGGCAAAAAGAGGCTCATGCACTTCGGGCCATGCCTTTCTCTTCAACTGAGACCGAGAAGTAACTATAAACTTTCCAACCAAGAGTGCTTATCAAAACATATCTCAACGATGGACTTGGATTTCCTCGACCAACTGTTGGCCCGGTGCTGGGATTTCATTGCCTGCAGGTTGTATACCTAACGCCCGAAGCACCAACCGTCATTCGTGAATTTGCCACTTCACAGGATTGACACGCGAGTCAAAAACTGCAGAGATCCCGCAATTCCAAAAATTGGGGACCCTGTGACTGCCTGACTCGGCTCATTCTGCCGACTTCCTTCGTCCAAGGTGGCTTCAGTGGCCTTTGCCTGGCACACTGGGGAGGACAAGCGCGTCGCCAAGTGACACCAAAACCGTGCCATGGCCCTTGACTTGGAGTAGGGCGGGTGGGGTTGGAAGAATGGAATGCTGCCAAACTCATGGTGATGGGTTCAACAGCTTGTGGTTCAACAAAACATAAATCAATGTGAATTCAATGTCGATATGTGTTCATCCAAGCAGCAAAACATGATAAGAGACGCCTGGACCAGCCCTACCCAGTGCAAGGCCGAGACTCGGTCGGGGGAAGGCTTAGGACCAAAGGATGTCCTGGGTCGTCCATTCGTGTGGAGGTCATCTACTGCGAATCTATCTTCGCGATAGAGTTGCTAGACACTCCAAAGGCAAACATGAAGAAGCCGTGTGAACCTTTGGCCACATGTTGGCCATCGAAGCCATGTGAACCTTTGGTACTTTTGCTTGAGAGTGTCTAGCGACGCTATGAATGTTTCAAGGTGTGTCGAGCAGTCTTTGCTGCATGCTGACTGCGAAAGAGTGACTTTTGGGAGTGCGCTTTGTGACTTTTGGGAGGGTCACGAGGTTCAGACTTTCACGAGGCTAAGCTTCAGTGCCTTTGGGAATGTTTCGAGTTTCAACTGGCTCCGACATCCACGTGCTTGGCTCAGGGTTCCACCAAGTCAGGCTTTTGCGACACGCATTTCTGCCTGGGAATCTTCAATCTTCGTGTTGTGCTTCCGAAGCACCTGGGCAGGATGCACCTTGGGCGACGTCCACCCTAAGCTGCCGCCAGCGAGCGCTGGTGAGCGATCGTGGAGGCGGGACGAAACGAAGTTAGAGCGATCCAACATGGCTTTGTGATGCTTTGTTGAAGCTTGGGGTTCCTTTTAAAGACATCCTGTGCATCATTGGAACACATCCTGTTGCCTGTAATAGCCCCGGCCGAGAGAATGAAACAGCACATTCATTGTGTTTGGGTCAATATGATTGCGGGAGACCATCATTAATACAGTAGGTAGATTTGGAAGGTCAAACACTGTAAAGACGTCCATCAGCATCTCCCAGATGAATGCCAAAGCGCAGAGGCGACCAAACGGTTTGGCTACCGCTGTATGCAGCTGGTTGCAGCCTTCAGTGGAGGCTCCTTCTTCACCACATGCCTGCCTCGCTCTCAAGCGAGGCTGGTCACGCATTGCGTCGATCCAACTGACCAGTGCCTTGGTAAGCCTGGTCGTCCCATAGGCAAAGGTGACCTGCAGTGCAACCAGCACTGCAGCTCCCTTCCTGTTCTTCCAATGAAGTGAGGTTCATGTCGTTGCCACTTCTGAATCACCGCAATCAGCCTCAAGATTCATGGTATGAGTTTCACATTTTTGAAACGCATACCATTAATCTTGATTCATGCCGGTAAATGGCGGTGCAGGTTACGACGAGCGGGCAGAGCCAAGATCCAGGTTGATGATCAGTTCTGGGTCCATGTTGTGCTATGTTTGGAAGACATCCTCGAAGCCCGCCATCGACATGCTCCGCCCTACTGCTCCGCCCGTCGCGGTGGAATGCTCCTTCCGTCATCTCAAGGAGCTCTAAGGAGCAACGGACCAATCACAATATGATGGGTCTGAAAGCCTGGGCCAGGCTGCTTGGCTCGACCAGTGCAGACCAGAGTGATTGGAAAGAGGGACTGGTCTCAGGCCGGCCATGGCCACATGCAGCGTCCAGCGTTGATGATGAAAGATCCAGCACCTGGACCACCTGAATGTGGTCATTGTGGCTGCGATGAGACTCTGGCAAGTTGGAGGGAAAAGATGGTATGGCCGAGCCTGGAGGGTGGGAAGCAGAGAGAGGCAGAGAGAGATCCAGCCCGGTTGACAAGTGAGTTCATTTCAGGGAATGAGACTCATCCAAGCGACCTCTACTCTTGACCTACCTTCCCTGTTTTCAGTACTCCCATTTTGAGGGTGTGTGTCGTTGATCGAACCTCAATCACTGGGTTCAGAGCTGGTTGTCGTATGCAGCATTCGCAGTATTTGAGGATTCTCATGGTTGCAGTCATATTCTTCTCCGATTCATAAACACATCTTCTGGGTCAACTGGGTGTTCTTCAACGCGGTGTTCTCAGCGAGAATCTGTAGCCGTTAGGCTCAAAGCAGTGAAGAACTTTAGCTCAAGCGGAGAGTCTGGCAAGACACTTGAGCTGCATGCTGCCCGCTCAAAGACCAGCTCTCAAAGACATTGGTGCCCCCCCTGGATGGACCTTCGACACTTCATGTGACGATCCGAGCCACTGGATCGACCTTCTGATTCTAGGCGTTGCACAGGTTGACCTTCGACCCGGTTTTTGAGGGAAAACGACCTCGAGGGGACTCACACACACACCCTCCTGCTCGCCCGCGGGGCTGATGGCCATGCGTGCCATGCGTCGACAGTTGCGCTTGGGCAAGGGCCTTGTGAACACGAGGAAAAAATTCAAGCGGAAGAGTGCCGACAACGACAACGAAGAGAACGAGGATAATGAGGACAATGAGGACAACGAAGAGGAACGCGAAGGGTGAATCTCTTCTCGGATCTTCTCGGTGTGTTCCACATGTGCGTGGTATATATATATATGTTTTTGTTGTCCAGACCAATTGTAGTTTTCATGCCTTTAACTTGTAAGCTGCAATAATACCCAGCTTATCCCACATTTCTGTTGCTTACAAGTTCGTTTTGGTGAACCGACATGTACTGTAGTGATTCTAGGTGATGTACCGTAGAAACTGGAGCAGATATGGAGCGAGTGGAGTTTAAACTTGATCAGATTGCAGCCTTGTACAGCCTAATGTTCGACATCACGTGCCACCTGAGGAGGAAGAGGGTCGACCCTACTACGTGGACGAGGACCCTCAGGCGAACTCCTTCGGGCTGGTGGCGTGGGTGGCGTATCCCTCCCACGAGGTACAGATGAATCCTACTGACCCTCAAACCACCGAACCAAATACCATACACATGATGTGGTCAAATGTTTCAGGGCTTTTCCATGTCTTCAAAGGGTCATACAAAACCAACACAGGTTGGTTGACAAAGCTTCTACCAGATCTACCGGACGATCTACATGAATGTTCCTCCAAGCACTACTGCTAGACCGCCCTCATCGTGGCCACCAAGACCATCCGTTTATGATCCGGTGCCCCTCCAGTGATCAAATTTGTCCAGGAATCCACCCAACTCACCCGGTGCCGCGTCGCTCACGGTTCCGAGCGTCGCTTCTTCTTCGGCCTCAGTGATCCCCTGATGCCGCGTGCTCCCACCCCGCGTACCGTGAGGTGGAGCCTACCCGGGGAGAGTTGGAGGAGACGTGTTTCACCACGGAGCATCCGACGCGCAGCAAGATCCGGAGATTGCCGCGGGAGAACATTCACACGGATGCTTGGAGAGTTGGAGCACGCAAACGAGACGGTGGAAGGGGGCCTGGATGTCTTCTTGATTTTCATGCAAAAAACCATGGAACTACGATTCTTCATTTACTGTAGTTCCTTCACTTCTTGACGTTTGAGGTTGGGTTAAATTCATTTGCTTCCAGAGATCCTTCTTTGGGGAATCGCTGACGCGACATCCACCATTGGGCTTAGGTTCCACTCGTTCCGGATGGTCGTCCGAGACTCGTTCCGAGGACTCCAAAAACGAGTTTGATGTGAAGCGCGACGAGTGCGCTGCCAGGGTCCGGGCGATCATCGACGGATGCGATGACAGTGGGAAGAAGTTCTTTGACGCCAGCTTCTACTTTGACAAGCAGGAGTTGCGATTGACCTGGTGAATGGTGCAAGTCAACCACTGAGTTGGGGCCACATGATGAACAAGTCAATCCCACTTGAAAATGGCTCGAAAGATTGGGAGAGACTGGACTCGACCAACTCCGTAATGTTTGTCAGCTTTGATCCGCGAGACTTGCTGAGACATAGGCACATTCATCTTGAATCGACTTGTTCCTATACTTTAAGCTTGAAGTGTTTGGCGATGCTGCATTTTTTGGTTTTCGCGTTTTCGGATGCTGTAGTTTGCTCTTCGTTTTGGGGTGACGACCCTACCAGATTCACTTAGCACCATGTTCTGAATACCGTAGCTTTTGTTTCCTTCACACCTCACGGCTTTCCACATCCGCGCTCTCCCTCCGGTTGGTGTCCGGTGCCAGGAGAACCTCTTTCCACCCGGCACGCCGGACGACTGCACCGTGGGGCTGCCGGAGAAGTGCATGCGCTTGAGCGAGCTCTTCGGCGAGGACTGCGATGTCTTTGTGGAGTCCAAGGAGGGCGAACTGGACGATCCGGTGGATGCGCTTCGGCCTCTTGAGTCCTCCGGAGACGTGTCTCGTGTGGGTGAAGAATCCCCCATTGATTCTGGTGATGAGACACCTACAGATTGGATCTAAAATTTGATGTGCCATTGGTTATATAAGCTTTCCTAAAGATCTATGAATCAAATGAACAGCGGCGAGCTATCCTGCGTCCAGCAGCCAGGAGCATCCAGTAGTTAGGAGCTTACTCTCTTACTTACTGAAGTAAGTAGGCGTCAGCCCTTGATGAAGTAAGGGCGGGCAGAACAAAAGGGAACAGAAACGGCGAACACTGCCCAAGCAGAACAGCTGAACACCCCTCCCCTTCGGTTTTTCCTCCGCTCCGCTCGCTTTGAGGCCTCGGACATCGTCCAGGGGAGCATCGGCGACTGCTTTTTGATCGGCGCCATCTCGGGCATCGCGGCGCATGGCGCCAAGGTGCTGCACTTCTGGGACAAGGAGGACGGTGGGTGCCATTGTTTGGGGTGGAAGAGGCCATCGCTCCTAGGGTTGGAGGCCAGCGTTAGAAACAAAGAAACAAGGAAAAGGAAGAACTTTGTATTGGAATGTGGAATTGTTTGGAGTTCGGAGTGGACTCCTGAAAGAATTAGGCTTGACAAAGAGTGAAGTCCTGCAGCTTTCCTGCGTCAGGATCGTGGAGAGGTCGATGATAACGCTGAAGAGGTGGAACATGAGGCGCCCATCGACCCTTGGATACGGAAAGAGAGCAGTCTTCGCAGAAACAATGGTCAGGCTTGAT